AAGAAAATTTAATTTAAAAGCATATCAAAGTCTAGATAGTGGATGAGGCAGTACCTTTAGACAGCAGAAGAGAAGAGAAAGGACTAGAAAAATCACCAAATGCAAAGACCCGCAAATAGAAGTCGAACAATTGTGGCAAAAGAAAGCCAGGATCGTACAATAGTAATTAGCCACCTTGGGTGCAATCCCAAAACAACTGGAGCACCACTTGAACCCCATCGGCATTGACAAATTCACCGTTAATCAATTGCAAAAGGCAGATTGACTTGGAACAACTTACATCCTGTATCAATACCTTTAACACCATCACACAACATCTGCCTCTCCTAATCCTTCGGAAGGCCTTGATAGGTGGACAAAAATACCAAATCCAGTCTAAACATCTGGTTGGCTGCATGACCAACCAGAACAACACTCTTTAGAATTGGTTGCTAAAATACTGAATATTAACCAACACATTCTTCATAAGCCAATGACCTATCATAACCTGTTCATAACCCTCTTGTAGCTATATAAAGAAGTAACATTAAAAGAGAAAAAAACATGCAGGTAATTTCAGGATCACCGTCAAAAAACCCATACTGAAACTCTTTCGTATGTATTGAATTAAAAAAAAGTCTCTTAGTTTGATTGGTTATCGTTTGGAAGTTAAACACTGAGATACGTAATATCCAGACATCTATAAATGCAGCAGATGTTTGTGTTCCCAAGAGAAGTCTTCCAACTTTGGCTTACATGTTAACAGCTAGCATAAAAAATAACACCTGTTAGACAAGGGGTGTAACAATTGCTTCTCAGATTTTATTTTGTATTTTTTTGCTACTTCAATTACTTGTTGATAGACGGCCTTGCAAGCATTGCACAGAAGGCTTGGGAAAATTCAGCATTTGCTGGACAGATGCAAACCTGAATCAGGGGTCCGGCATACACGTTTGTTCTATTTTAACAGAATAACACAGTTGGAAGGGACCTTGGAAGTCATCTAGTCCAACCCCCTGCTCAGGCAGTAAACCCTATATCATTTCGGACAAATGGCTGTCCAGTCTCTTCTTAAAAACTTCCAGTGTTGGAGCATTCACCACTTCTAGAGGCTGGTTGTTCCACTGGTTAATTGTTCTAACTGTCAGGAAGTTTATCCTTAGTTCTAGGTTGCTTCTCTTTTTGTTTACTTTCCATCCATTGCTTCTTGTCCTGCCTTTAGGCGCCTTGGAGAATAGCTTGACTCCCCTTTCTTCGGGGCAACCCCTGAGATACTGGAACACTGCTATTAAGCCCCCCCTCGTCCTTCTCTTCATTAAACTAGACATACCCAATTCCAGCAACCGTTCCTTATATGTTTTAGCCTCCAGTCCCCTAATCATCTCTGTTGCTCTTCTCTGTACTCTTTCTAGAGTTGCCTCCTGAAAAAGCATCTTTGGGATAACTAGGACCTGGATGGTGGAGAATCTCCATAGACAATTGACCACGAACTATTGTATGGCTATATCACACGTGTCAAGTGTGAATTACTGACCATAACAGGAGGCAAGATAAAAAAAACTGGGTCATCATACAATTCAGCCTAGTGTCCTTATCCCGAGGAGATTATTGACATCTGGACTTTGGGGAAGAAAAAAAATAAAACTTTCAAGAAAGCAGGCTGATGTGAAACTCACCACATGTTTTAATTGAGCAAAATTCCCAGGGGGTGTTTGGGTCAAGCGTGTAACACCACGGCCTCGGTTTACCATCCGGATTGCGGCAATAGTTATCATCAAAGCCTTTGTCGGGGTATCTGCAAAACATACCAACAAAAGCACGTTAATTGAGGTAGCTACCAGGGGGAGCCAAGCAGATGCAAGATACATTTCTCCATGCCCTCAATTCTAGGGAAGAATCCAAACAGGAGCTAATGAATGACTAGAGAAGCAGGAGAGATACGTCCATCAAGCAGAAGTCCTATCTTAACTGGGACCTCTTTTGCTAGGCTGTAGACCATCCGGTGGGGTCAATCTGCTAATTGGGTGATTTCTCCCCATTAGGGTCCCTTTTGACACAACGGCCTTAATTGGCTTCCTTTGGGGATGGCTCAATTAAGTGAGAGCAATGTAAACATTTCATGGGATGGCCGATTCATTAAGCAAAGTGCTTCTCCAGTTCAACAGCCCTGGGTTCAAAGCTATTTCCAACAAACTGGGTTCTATTTTTAGAAGCCAGAGCGTAATTTTGAGGCCGTGCCCTCATTTCCAGCATGGTAGGGGACAAGTCAAGAAGAAATTAAATTTCCCTTTGCCCTCCTTTATTATTTTTTTTTTCTCTCCCCTGCTTCTAATTACTTTCAATGCCCTTTTCCTAGTTATTCGTCAAGGAAATCAAGAAGTTGCGGGCTTACAAAGCAATGGCGAACTTCTTGTATGAATACTTTTTCATTATCCATTTAGAACTCCTTGTTTGTTGGTTTTAGGTTTATTACTTCTGGTCTGCTGGCAGGGGAAGGTTAGGCTGGATTTAAAGGAAGGCACAACACAGCTACTTTTGACTGAGAAACTTCTACACATTTCTACACATGTGGTCCTCCCTGGAAGATTAAAAACCTGATTTATAATTGCCTACGGGAGAAAGTTCTTTTTATCTTCAAGAGTCTAAAAAAAAAATCTCTTCCACAAATTTGTTTGAACACTGCAGGCTTCTGTTCCTTTAAGAGATGAGGCTCAGCATGATTTTTCCCAAACCAGGAGAACATGGCTTCCTCTGATTGGAACTCTGAGGAATGAATGGCTTGCCTCCAGATGTTGTGGGTGCTCCATCACTGGAGGTTTCTAAGAGATTGGGCAGTTATTTGTCTGGAATTGTGTAGAGTCTCCTGCTGGAGTAGGGGAGTAGACTAGAAGACCTTTAGGGTCCCTTCCCAGTCTGTTATTCTGTATTCTATTCCTGCCTTGAGAAGGGAGTTGGACTATAAGACCTCCAAGGTCCCTTCAAAGCTCTATAATTCTACGATTCTTTGCTCTGAGAACATTTAAGCAACCAAAAGCAGCTGTTGCAAGGTCCCATCTGGGCCAGCCACTGGGACTAGAGGTTTAGTTTTCAAAGTTTTCACACTCCAGCCCGTTTGGATCCCGCAACATTATCCTAGGACATGTAGATTTGCCGTCATTTGCAAAGCAGCTGTGCTCCATGGACGTTCAGGCAGCTTCAGCGTGGCTGACCAGAGACCATTATCCCCTTAAAACAATGTACAACACAAGCTCCTGCCCCCAGTTTCTGGAACTTCTTGTAACTTTCCTAAGCAGAGAACCCAATATTTGACAGGATGTAAAGCTGAACTATTTCTATAGAGATTTGTGTGGAAAGATGAAGGTCATTAATAATAAAGAGTTATTTCGGCAACTCTGATAGAGTGCTTCTTTCAAGTTATTTTTAAGCTCCCCCTCCTGAACCTGTCTGTGAATACGTTCTTTCCCTTTATTTTATTCAGATCCAGCTATCTGAATAATAATTGGCCTTGCTGCCTTTTAATTAGGCGCTTCGTGAGTGCCAGCTTAAAAGAGATGTCTTTCTGGTATATAATTAATATTAACTGAAAATCTTTTAAGATGGAGGCCCAGGAGACGCCTCTCCTCAAATTCACTAAGAGAAATAGTATCATACAAGATTCAGCATGGGATGGAGTTCATGGATCTTGTGACATGAGACTAACAATCAATTAGTAAAATAACTAAAAAAAAAAAA